TGGTGCTGAGTCCTGTAGGAATGTCCAAGGTCTGCGGCCAAAATGTATGCTTTAATACACCCTCCAGAATATTATAGCGATAGTACTGGCATTTATTCGAATGCCACGGTCGATTAATACGAGCGGAGAGCGACCATCGGCTGTTATGGCGGCCCACACCATCACCATTGCCGGCGCTTGAGTTCTGGTGGTCAACCGAAGGTGCACATTTTCAGCTGACCTCTTTGGCAAGTAAACAAACTGCTGGACAACGAATGTTTTCTCATCGGAGAAAACCAAATTCGGCAGTTCACCACTTAAGGCAAAGCGAAGCAACTCTTTACCTCTTTTGAGTCTATATCCTTTCTGTTGCGGTGTAGGTTCTTGAACTGTTTGGAATTTCAATGGCTTTACCCCGAGCTAATTAAAATTTGCGATATGTTCAGCTCACGAGCCATTTTTCGGCCAATGCGAAGCGGGTTTCAATCAAGTCGCTTTTTTTACTTTTCGAGCCATTTCTGCTGATGTTGCTGTTTTCTTCCGTTCCATCACGAATATGTATATATATTTTTTTTTAAAGTTCTCACCAAATGCTTTTGTACGCTTGTAAACAATATAACGAGCTGTCACTTGAATAATTTTAACAGCTATCGGACGAGTGACTTTGAAATGACAGCAGTCTGAAGATGATTGCAGTTTTTTCATCTCACCCTGTAACTGAAATTGCGGTATATCTTTGTATTAAGTATTTTAAACCGAATTGGCTATTCTTTGATGCTTTACGTTTCCATTTGAAACATTTTATTATATTTTTTTATTTTCGGAAATTGTTATGTAATTCGAAATTGGGTATGTCAAAATTTCGATATTTGTAAATATGCATCTATCATTTTAAACAGGGTATGTATCCAATGCACCCAAAGCAGGTCACAACGCAAATGATCCATTTGCTCAACGTCCAGACGATGCTCCATTGGAAATTCGTTCGAGCTAGAATTCTAAAATTTGAATTGAGAGTCACTGATGGAGTGCAGAAAAAATTTGCCAAAGGTTTTTGGAAGTTTCAAATTTAAGGTTACGAAAAGTTTTAAAATGTTACTAAACTTCTTAAATGATACCACTTTGTATTATATTAAAGGATAGAGCTAAAACTTAAAATTTGGTGTAAGAATCAAGATTGGAAAGAAAGGTTGATATATAAAGGTTTTTGATATGTGTATTAAGTGTGTGAAATGTACTAAATTTGTATGGAGCTGGTGTTTAAAATTTTACGATGGGATACAATGTAGGGTAGGTTTGTGTTAAAAAAGGTGGTTTTGGAAATGTGTACTATAAGTGCACGGAAAGTACTAAATAGTAATATATTTGGTACAATTTGATATTGAATGAACAGATAGTGCTTGAAATCTGAAATTTATTATTAGGGTTGCTGTTAGTGTTAGGGGTTAAGATTTGAAGATGGTTTTGGAAATACCTACTAAATGGAAACAAATTTGGTATTGGGTGTAGGGATCGGGCTGATGTGGATATATGTAGATGGTTTTGAAAATGTGTACTACAGTCGTTAGAAAGGAATACAGTTGCTTTATGTGTGCAACAAACACCCAATAAAACACCTAAGTACCAGTACCAAAGCAGTTTAGATTTCCCCTAAATTAGATATCTGGTACCGAATATCATTGCTGTGGCGAGCATATTACTAATGTAGAGGACCAAACACCAAATCGGATGAAACATACATATGGAAGCTAAAGCTATATCTTAACCGATTTCCACCAAATTTGGACCTCTTGCTTATAGGCTGAATTAGGTCGGATGTTCCGAAACACATCCTATTTGAACGGTTATCACCAAATTCAATGGGGTTCCTTGAGCCAAACAAATGATATATGGAAAATTTTATCCCAATCGTACAATAAATGCGGCCTGTCATGCAATTGGTGGGGAAACTTTTTCAGTGGAAAAATGACATTGAATTTCTTATTATTTTGACATGTGGTGGCATTTTTGGTATCCGTTTTACTTTTCCATGACACTTTCGAATCTTGGATTGCATAACATTCAAATTATATTTTCCTGACCCCAAGCCATAGTGATTACAGAGTGGCATTGAATATCAAACCTAACTTGAATGTAAACAGACCAGAGAAAACGATCATCACAACATCCACATAAAAAAGGATTTATAGCAGCGATGAGACTTCTACAAAGAACCCCTATCTATGTGCTGTGAAAACATTTTGTTACCAATTGCAGCGTACTTACTATCATTTTCAAGCACCTTCAACGTCGAAAAAGACAATATTCACGAGGCGTCTCAGTTATTCTCGCAATTTCTTTTTCTAGCATTTTTGTCCTTTTGTCATGGCATAACTCTATATTGATTGGCCTAGGTACCCACAGCATCATTCCAATACTGCTTCTATAGATCATCCGAAATCTAATGATAAAAGAGGTTGACCAGAGGTAGCTTTGACCATTGGTACTAATAGTAGTATTTATACTTCTTTACATTGATTATTATGTGCACACACGAACAAGCTTACTCCACGCTTGTTCGAATCTTAATACTCTATTCACTTTAGGTTCCTCATGTCATGGTTTTGCGTATATTCATAATCATATAATATTCGGCGTTCCATTCTATTATACAATCTAAATGTTTTGCCATTTACCTGTAATTTCCAATTTATTTAGAATGATGCAGTGCTGAAGTGAATAGCATTGCTTTGAATTATTGATGGCGTTTTTTTCTTATCAATTGCCATTATTTAAACAATGCACAGTTGCATGGCCAATGCAGGCTGCAATTTCCCACGAGGCTATCTGATAATAACAGATAATTCATTCCAATTTCAAAACAAAGTATTTGTTGGAATTTCTGCAACAAGTTCTAATTGCAAGACATTTGCTACGATCTAAAAATGAAAAAAAAATCAAACGGGGAAATTAATTTGTATAATACATTTCCATTCATATACATTGTTCATTTCTACTAATGAAGGGTGTAATTTATGTGTTCGGTGTACATACATATGCACAATATTGAACTATGTAAAATCATTCAGATATAATACTTAATACAATATAACATTCAGTCTTTGAATATTTGCTTCAATTTCCCACCAGGCTATTTGATTAATAACAGATAATTCAATCCATTTTCAAAACTAAGTATTTATCGGAATTCCTATAACTAGTTCTAATTACACAACATATTCTGCGTGGGCTTAACTTTTAATACCATCCAACCAAAACTTGAACGGAACTGCATATCCCGTCTTCACATGACATAAAAACGTTAGTCATTTCGCCTTTTTTAATCTACTTCATTCTCTTTGAAATACAGAATGGTTTTGAAATGAAGATTATTATGAGCTCGATTCGTTTATTATGAGATGTACAGGGTGCGATGAAAAAACTGCAAGCAACTTCACACTGCTGTCATTTCTAAGCCACTCGTCCGTTAAACTTATTCCAGTGACAGCTCATTATATACAAGCGTACAAAAGCAGTGTGGTGAGAATTTTCCAGAAAAAAAAAAGTTATACGTGACAGAATTCAAGCGTGGTAGTGTAGTTTCTTTATATTTGGCTGAAAAACCACAAGGGGTTATCGTTAGAGCACTCCAGCATTTACATGTGAATAAATATTTTGTGTCTCGTACCATCGCTCTTTACTGTGATACTGGTTGCGTAGCCCGACGTCAAGGAAGAGGATAGAAAAAAAGAGCAACATCAGCAGAAATGGTTTGACCCGCGTCGCAGTGGCCAAAAAATGGGTCGTGAGCTGAACATTTTGAAAAATGAGCTCGGGTCAAAGCCATTGAAATTCCAAAAAGTGCAAGAACTTACACCGCAACGGAAAAACTCAATAGAGCTAAAGAGTTGGTTCGCTCGGCCAAAAGTAGTGAACTGCCGAATTTGGTTTTCTCCTATGAGAAAATATTCGTTGTCCAGCTGTTTGTAAACAAACAAAATGACCGTGTGTAGTTGCCAAAGAGGTCAGCTGAAAATGTGCACTTTCGGTTGGCCACCAGAACTCAAGCGCCGGCCATGTTGATGGTGTGAGCCGCCATAACAGCCGATGGTCACTCTACGTTCGTATTAATCGACCGTGGCATCAGAATAAATGGCGAATATTATCGCAAAAATATTCTGGAGGGTGTATTAAAACCTTGGACACGCAAACAATTTGGACGCAGACCAACGGGACTCAGCACCATTGCACTCAGCACGCGCCAACCAAAAATGGCTGCAGAATGAGATTCCTCGCTTCATTTTTAGCGCACAATGGCCACCAAAATCTTCGGATGCCAATTAGTTGAACTATTGTGTCTGGGGTATTTTAGAAAGCAAGTTTGGCACTGAAAAATACCAAAGTGTTGATCACCTCAACAAGCGCTTCGCCCGCAACGGAGTGACCGTTTCATTAACCGTTTGAAGGCCATAATTCGTGCCAAAGGTGACCAATTCAAACAAATCTAAACTTATTCTGAAATTTGATGCTATTTCCGACATTTTTTACTTTCATTCAATGAAATTTAACCAAAAAATGTAAAAATTATTGCGTTTGACTTTGTTGCAGTTTTTTATCTCACCCTGTATATTTAAAATTGTCCGCAATTTGTGTGTAGCACTATACATATTTAGTAGAGCTATTAGTAAACAAGTGAAAAAGCATTAAGTTTGACCGGGCCGATCTACTACTACAACACAATAATATACTGGAGAACCACCTTATGTCCAAACACATTTTAGTCGATTAGCTGAAATAATGCCATACTGTCCAGCACAAATGTTACCATTGTTTTTTACCGGGGATGTTTTCCTTATATTTACACTCGTAAATCGTATCCAAGTACGCTTTATACACATTTTAACTTCAAATTTTCCCTAATGTCACTCATTTTCATAATTTATCTTCCTTCAGTCAAAATACATGCCCAGTCATCCGCCAACAGCACAAAGCGTTCCTTCGCCTCATACATTTGTTTCCATATAATATATAAACTCATAAAATTTAAAAAAATACATAGTTTTATTTAAAATATATATTTAAATAAGTCTTTTAAATAGTAGCGGAGCAATTGCTAATTTAATTAGCATTTCATTACAGCGACTGTTGCAAATATAAATCAATCGTCAATATTTTTTGTGATCATTTAAACTCTTTAATCAGCCAAATATTCCTCTGCTAGATTATGAGTTTCATCATCATTCTCCAACTGCATATCATCCGACATATTTGAACAGGCATCGTCTTCTGAGAATGTATCCACCCGGGCAAAGGCACTATCCAAAAGGTGTGAATTCAGTCGAATAAAATTTAAAGTGTCTGCGCTAAGATTTGTACTACCGGCCCAGTTGAAAGGTATGTGACAATAGTTTATTTTGTTATAAATCTGTGTGTAGATAAAGTACATTAATTGAATACCCATACCCATAGTGGTTAATCTATTTATGCAGTGTTTGGATTTCAACGACTTACCTGTGTTGCAGGTATCGAAAAGCATATTGAACTAAGGTAATGTAATTCAGGTTCGCTGAATTTCCACTCTCTCCAGAAGAATAAAATGTTTGTATCTACCATTTGAAACGGCAATTTAAGCCTCTCCAAATGCTTGTGCACATCTGCAGTTGTGACATCCTTGACTTTAATGCCTTTGCACAGGAATTCATTAAGAAATTCATCTTCATCGTCATCAAATTGTTGCTGGTCCTGTAGCTGGGTCGATTCATTGTCTTCAGATTTTGGTTTTGTCATTTGTGGGTTGTAAAGTTTTGCATGCGACCATAGTTTCTTCAAATATTCCACTGCCATCGTTTTCTGTGGCAAATTAAGCGTGTGTTGGAAACGAGGATCCAAATACAGACAACCGGTGAACCGATCATTTTCTAGTAATGTCTTTGTTCTAGCTTCAATACTATTCATGAGTTCCTGCGCAATAAGCCCTATGAAACTCTCTGTATTTGAATGATTTTTCATGAGTTTCTGATTGAGAAGTTTACATTTTAGCCATTGAGCATAAAAATCGCCAATATGTTGCTCCTCTTTATAATAACGTAGCAGACTCTTCTGCAGATATTTCAGAATATCACAATAGGCTTCAATAAATGCCCATAAATTATCATTGACTTTAAATTGATCTTCTGGCGAACTAACTTGCTCGAATTTAACATTTTGCAAAACATTACGAGCCATATACAAATCATTCATCATGTTATATGTCGAACCCCATCTCCATGGTGAATCAATTTGTGGAACTCTCAAATTTTGATCTTCAAAAATCTTGTAGTAACCATTCGATTCATCGTTTAAATATTTGGCAAAATTTCGGCATTCCAAAAACAGTTGAAAGATCTGGGGGTTTTTAAAAATGTCCATAAAACAAATATGAGCTATTGTGCCAATATAAGGTTGAACTTGGATGCTTCCAATGTTGATGTCTGGATAGTTTTGTAACAGTTCAATTTCTTTCAGATACTCAGAATTTCTTACTGACCGCGAGAAGTTCTCCTTGGTATGATCCCAGGTGATCGATACTATTTGACTGTTATCAATGTCAAATTTATTCAAAATGGGTTGAATATGTTTCTGCGAAAAATTCACCTCGTCTTCATTGAGCTTTATTATTCCCAATATGCGTGTTTCCACTTGACCTTCGTCAATAAACTGGGTACTGAGGCAAAATGTTTTCGGCGGGGCATCAATATCTGTATCAATTTTTAGTGACAACAATCGCCAGTGCAAATCCTTTGAAAAATCAGTTCGCATATTAGATGCCAGCATATCTATGTTACGTTCAACCCGACTAGTATCCATCGTAAATGTTTTTAGCTCTTGCCCATATATTGCATTGCAAAGAGGTTTCACTAAATTTAACATATTACTGCTATCCATTATATTTGGTCCAATACCATCTTCAACTACTAAGCCGATTACGGAACGTACAACGAGTTTCTTATTCACTTCGATGTAGGCTCGTCTCTTATAACGTTTTTCTCCCAAACGTTCTTCTTGCATTTTTCGCTTTGCCAATTTCAATACAGCATTAATTTGTTCTTCGTCATATGGCTTGGGAGAAGACGCCGATACTTGAGAGTTATTCGAAACATCTTGCACCTCAATGTCCATTTTGTGTACTTTGCGTAAATGCTGGCGTAAATTAAAAACGCGATTATTTCTCATACGAGTGGAACATATTTTACACTCTGCTATGCCATCCTTTACGATATTCTCGAAATAATTCCATATTTCACTGTTGGAAGTGCGACCCATCTTTTCTCAGTTGTTGTTTTTCTTACAGCAAATAGGCGAACCCGTGTCGTTGCTTCAGAGATCCAAAGTTGTACTAATGAAGAAAAGCATTTGAATGAGTCACATGCTCTCGCAATTACTGTAGTGGCATGGTTATGAATCCACACACAGTTTAGATCTCTCTCACTCTTGCCTGTGACCGCAGCCAGCAGCAAAAGTACAGTTTACTTGCTGTTTGTGCTTACACATACAGTGCCTTCAACCTGCTAGTGTCTGTGCTGCTATCGTCGACCAAATAAACCCAAAAGCAGCTATGTTGGAGAGGGGCGAGTTTGCTGACACAACTGCTGCCATTAACAGCAGCAGCATTTACTTTGTTATTGCTTTTGTGTTTTTGTATAACTGAGGTGAATACATTTACCGATTGAGAGCGCGTCAGCTACTTCCCAAACGAGAGTGGGCAAATAAAACCAAAATAACTTTGGTGAGCAGCAAAAACACACCATACAGCTCGTACTTTATAATTGCAACAATTCAAAGGTACAATGGCGACCGGGTAATGACATTAAATTTAACAAGTTAAATCGTATCAGTCGGTTTTGCCGACAGATGTATATCCTCGGCCAATGTTCGATTATATAAATATATTTTGACTTCTGTTATGATTATTCAAATTGTTGACCCTCTATGGAGTAGGTTCCAAAGGATTGGGCTAATATTGTCCTTTTCGTATCAGACCTAAATAAATATAATATAAATATTGCGCCGTGCCAGGTTTGGAATACCACCAAATTTGAAGCACATGCTTGTAGGCTGAATTCGGTCGGATGTAGCAAAATTAACACCATTTGAACTGATATTAGCCATTTGGTGCAAAAGAAACCTAAAATCGGGAGAAAGACTATTATGATGTAATTTGAAGACAATCGGAACGGATGGTCATTCCTAGATCGACTCCAAATGTCTTGACACAGATTTGGTGCAAAGTGAGTCTAAAACCGAATTTCGATGAGGCACGCTTTGACGGTATCAAATAATATATAACCTCTTTAGCCACATATATATAAAAATTGATGGTATTTTAAGCAATTAAAATAACATTAAGTTCAACCGGACTGAACTTTTAATATCCTCCACAATTGGGTGAAGAAAACTTTTTTCTATAATGATAATGCTGTTAAACTTTTCAAAAAACCATGAAGTGGGTAAGCCCGTTTGTAGCGGCTATACAAAAAACTCGAATTTCTGTAGACAATTTCTTAAATACCAAATTTCGAACAATTTCGTATGTAAATGTGACTAGGATTATCAAAATATCGAATATCGGTGGGTATCGTTATGTGGGGGCTATACGAAAACGTCGACCTATACATACTATGTTCCGCCACATGAGCTAGAACCGATTATGACCTACAAATACCAATTTTTAGACAAATCCGTGAAAAAATGTGGCGAATATCATCAAAATACCGAATATCGGGCGGCTATACCAAAACGTGAACCGATATAACTCATTTTCAATACCAAACATAGATAGATACAATACAAATTGTTGTGCTAAAGTTTGAAGCTCTGGGTCAAATAATATGGGCTGTATCGTGATTTCAAAAGACAGACGGACATAGTTAAATCGACGTAGAATTTTATACTGATCCTGAATAGAAATGGAATCACAAAGTTTATATACCCTCGTTTTCAAGGTGGAGGGTATAAAAGGTGCTATTCTGTTTGCAAGTCATCATAATCAATGTAATTATGTGTATAGGCATATTCTTGATAAGCGTAATACTATAATCAAATGGCGTTGCACCCACGATATCCGGTATTTTCATGGTTTCTGCCAATTATTCAACAAAGTTCTTATATATTTGTCACCGAATCCCCATAACTGTACCTCCTGATATTAGGTATTATGTCAGGTTTCTAAATGAAATTCTCTGAAATTTGATATTGTAGTGCATTTAATAAATTGTCGATTTGTATGTTTTCAGATTATTGAAGCTTTCATTATTTTTTGTGGGTTATTGCTGTAGTTGTATCCTTCCATTTAATTAAGGGGCACAATATTTATGATGAATGAATACATATACAGCAGCATAAATATATACATGATCAGCATAAAATTCAATGTCGATTTGGCGATGTCCACTCGTCTGTCCATCTGGGGAAACTTGTCATGGCTTTAGTTTGTCTACCTCAAACTTACTCTCTCATTCAGTCTATAACACATTAAATGTTTATTAGAGACCCTATATGGAATTTAATCTTGATTGAAGAAAAATTCTTTAATACACCCTCCAAAATATTTTCGCGATAATATTCGGCATTTATTCTGATGCCACGGTCGATTAATACGAGCGGAGAGCGACCATCGGCTGTTATGGCGGCCCACACCATCACCATGGCCGGAGCTTCAGTTCTGGTGGCCAACCGAAGGTGCTCATTTTCAGCTGACCTCTTTGGCAAGTAAACGCGAACATTTTGTTTGTTTACAAACTGTTGAACAACAAATGTTTTCTCACCTGAGAAAACCAAATTCGGCAGTTCACCTCTTTCGGCCAAGCACATTTATTCACATTTAAATGCTGGAGTGCTCTTACGATAGCCACTTGTTGTTTTCAGCCAAATATGAAGAAATCACGGTTGAATTTCATTACGAATAAATTTTTTTCTGGAAAATTCTCACCAAAATGCTTTTGTACGCTCGTAAATAATATAATGAGCTGTCACTAGAATAATTTTAAAAGCTGTCGGACGAGTGGCTTAGAAATGACAGCAGTATACTTTTCTGTCAAAAATTTTGCACTAAAAATCGACTAATTGCTTTATTCGCTATACAGTAGTATCTCTCGATATCCGGTATTTAAGAGATTTTGATTTTAGGTTCTCATTGGATGGAGATTTGGCATATGAAAGTAGTAGGTCCACGTTTCGATTTAAAACCCATATAGTTAGATTGAAATTCTAGTCACAATTTAGGAAAAAGAATCATTTCGAAATAAACTCACATTTATTTTCATATTGTGTACTAATTTGGTTTTCTACACTATTTCAATACGAATTCGTTTGTCAAAGTGAAAAAAATTCATGCAATATAAAACAAGTATAAAAGCTGTAAATTCGGCCGGGCCGAACTTTGAATACCCTCCACAATTTAGAACGAATTTGGCAATTCTCAAAAACAAAAAAATCGGTTAAAAATTCTGTTAAAATCTTAAAAATACCGAATGTAACTATTATATTAGGGTCTATTCGAAGACATGAATCTGCGTATGTAACATTTGTCATAAGCCATTACAATATTCTAATGCGAAAATTAACAAAAATCGGTTTTAATGTCGATAAAAACAAAATACCGAATAATGGGAGGTACCGTTATATGGGGGCTGTACGAAGACGTGGACCTGCACAGATCATTTTTTGCTTTAGCCTGTAGTATCCATTATGGACTTCAAATACCAAATTTAAATCAATTCCGGTGAATAAATTTTGCTAAAATCGTCAAAATACTGAATATCGAGAGACGTGGACCTGCAGAGACAATTGTCTGTCTTAGGCTGTAGTATCCATTTCGAACTTCAAATACCAAATTTGAAACTATTCCGGTTAATAATGTCGCTAAAATCATCAAAATAGCGAATATCGGGACTTACCGTTATATGGGGTCTATACCAAAACGTGGACACATTTTCAATACCAAAAGTCCTGCAGACATAACATACATTAGAGCAACATTTTATCAATCTACTTCAATTCGTTCGGTAGCTAGAGTGATTTCCACAGACGGACGGACATCGCTAAATCGCCATAGAATTGTATGCTGATCAAGAATATATATACTTTGTGGGGTCAAAAATGTGTATTTCGAGGTGTTACAAACGGAATGAAAACTTAATATACCCTCCATACTATAGTGGAGGGTAAAAAAAGACAAAGTGTAAATGTATCACAAAAATATTTATTCACATTTTTATACCCTCCACCTTGGAAACTTTGTCATTCCGTATATATATTCATAATCAGCATAAAAATTTTAAGACGATTTAACGATGTCCGTCGGTCTGTCTGTCCGTCTGTCTGTTGAAATCACGATACAGCCCACATTATTTGACGCAGAGCGTCAAAATTTAGCAGAATTATTTGTATTGTGTCTAGGAGGGTTGGTATTGAAAATGAGATATATCGGTGCACGTTTTGGTATAATCCCCATATAACGGTACATCCCGATATTCGTTATTTTGATGATTTTTACCACATTTTTTCACGGATTTGTCTGAAAATTGGTATTTGTGGGTCATAAGTAGTTATAGTGCTTCCATTACCCTAAGATGGGGGGTATTAAAAGTTTAATGTTTTTTTTACTTGTTATTAAGTAACTAACATCCCAAATTTCTATTTTGATATATCGATTTATTAAGTTTGTCTGTTGTTGTTTACAAAATAACTCACAATTGAACAGATGGATAATTCTTACTGGGAAAATTTTGCAAACTCTCAGTAACTCAAATATCAAAATGACTGTCTAATGTTGCTTTCACTTACTGGACTTTTGGTGAACGAGGAACTTCAACTATTCCTAATTTTTTATCCAAAGCCAATAAATTTAAATGTAATTTATCATATATTTTGGCGATTACGAACGTCTCGAAAAGACGTCTTCCATATGTACATATGTACCTTATTGTAGGTACCTGTATGAATTAAAAATGTAGAGTAGGTATTTCTTATCCAAGATGAACTGTGGCTACAGCAGCAACTCAACTTAGACGTCACCTATATTTTATTGTTGTTATTGCATTCTGTACTATGGAATGTTTTCACAGCACATCGAGAACATTTGAGAATGGCGTTTTTGTTTTGGCTTACAGTTTGCCGTCACCAACAAAAGGTTGTTCTCTGTTATCAACCACTACATTTTACCACCACGTTAAGAATGAGAAAATGGAAGAGAACAAAATAAAACAAAACCCAAGCCAATGTATGCTCACTGGTCGATAATAAAATCCACCACACAATCAGGCCTGGATTAACATCCAAAAATATATGCCTCTACTACTTTTCTTCTTGCTACATCATTTTGTCGGATGAACGAGGTAGCAGTGTAACATGTTTGTGCCTGCTGTGCAATGAAGAGTCCTCCCAACAATGAACAGACGCGCGCACATACTCTCGCAGCCGATTATTCGAAATAGCAGCGAATATATCCCACCCAACGTATTCGCCGTCGCATTTTGTGTGTATCTATCAGCAAATGTCGTTTCTCTTGACGACTCGTGAACTGTGTGTGCACACAAACAACTGTCATTGCGAATGGTGGTGGCTGTTATTCGCACAGTAAGCGATTTTAAATGCATTTTCGTCGCGTTTCAGTCTACGACCAGACAGCGTTGTTATTGCTAGTCTTCGAAGGGTTTCGCTTTGCCTTTGGTATAACTTCGGGTTTCTTTTGCAAAACAAAAATGCAAATTCACAAAGCACAACTGATAGAAATTATTAAACAATATCCCATTCTTTATGATATCCAGCACGAAGACTATAAGAACAGCTATAAAAAAGATAAAATTTGGGATGCTATTGCCTTGGAATTGGATCAAAGTGGTAAGTCAAATTACATATTTTTGTCGTTGCATGGTTGCGTTACTTTTATTGGAATATTTGTATTTGTTCTGTACGGCATCTTCGCAATCACGCTTTAGTAAGTTCGAATGTTTGTAACTTAATACACTCAAAAGCCTTTAGCGAAAGAAGAAATAACTTCCCCAGATCAATCAATAAATGTCCTACTAGTATAGGAAAAAAACTATAGAAAAAAGAAAGAAAAAAACTCAAGTATTTCCGTACATGTTAATTATTCTATAATCAATTTTTCTTTATCACAAAAATTAGTCTTCTTCTCACTTTACAAAAGATATTTATTTAACAGTACGTGTTTGCAGGCAAACTAGGGACAAATTCAAAGACAACGATTTGAGTAGTGTTACTTTGGTATTTTAGGCAAAATGCCGTTTCTGACCTAAATAATCGGTTGTTTCATTCATAACTAAGAGGAAGGTTTCATGTTATAGTATGCACATTATCTCACGCCAAAAATTAGTCGTTGTGCGTTACATACATATCGGATGAAACAGTTAAAGGCTCTACATAAGATAAAACTCATTACCCTATATTATGGGTTTGTTAAGTACATTTTGGCGCTCTTCTTATCGGTATAAGACATACCATGCACACGGTCACTATTACGAACATTAACTGTTGTTGGATCGGCAATTATAAGTAACTTCATATTTTGTATTTTTTGCTGTGTCGCCGTAACTATTTACTTGGTTGGAAAAAAATAAGTTATATTACATTTTATAGAAATTATTATATTTCTTACTGGAAATCCAGGAGAAGAATTTGTTCATATTTATGGTATATAGTTTTTATACCCTCCACCATACATAGAATGGAATGTATATTAAGTTCATCATTCCGTTTGCAATTCACCGAAATAATAATTTAAGTCCCAACAAAGTATATATATTCTTGAACAGCGTAAAATTATAGGTCCACGATATCGTATAGCCCCCATATAACTGTACTCCCCGATATCCGGTATTTTGATGATTTTAGCCACATTTTTCAATGGAATTGTCAGAAATTCTACATAAGGAGTTATTTGTGAGTACTTTACCCCCTGAAAGAGAATTGTCTATATAGGTCCACGAAATCGTACAGCCCCCATATAACGGTACCTCCCATTATTCGGTACTAGCTGGCCCGGTCAGCGTTGCCGGCTCGTAGTTTTTGTCTATTATGCATATTTGTCAAAGCATAATTATTCTCAGATTTGACTGGTATAAGAGTTCACGTACTGGTCGATTAAAAGTGTTTTAAAATACCTGTACCCATATTTAAGCCGTGAACTTCAATATTTAAACCGTGGGCTTCAAATGTGTTGATGTGCTACACAAATCTATTAAAAGTATATATCAATCTTATATCCATGTAAGATATCAAATTAATTTTTAGTATGGTAAAAATTGTAGCAAAATTTTCCAGTCAAATGGGCAGTAATTTGGAATTTACTGTATTTCGTACACCTCATAATTGAGGGCTGAATGATTTAAGAATAGCCAAAGTTAATTACTTTTTTTAACACCTTAGATTGTGCATTAGAGTCCTCATAAGTCTCCCTAACCCTGTCGGTCTGTTTGTCCGCCAAAAGGTGGACTTGAGGGCGTACTATTACATTCTAAAATTTGTAGATATGTTGAAATTTTTGTATAAGATTTTCACCCCCCAAATACACATTTTTAGCCAAATCCTTTAAAATATGGTAAAATCAGAAGGTACCTTTATGTGGACACTACTCCGAAACATCGACCGACATTTAAAACTTTCTTCTACACCATATAATCCAAGATGACAAATAGAGTCCAAATCAAAAATATAGCAGAACCACATAGTATGTCAAAATAAAAAACAATTTCGCGTTATTTAAATAAGTAAAAATAGTTTTATCCACCTCATAATTGAGGGCAGAATGATTTCAGAATAGTCAAATATAATTACTATTTTACACCCATTACCGTAAGATGGGAATTAATTTTATTTGCCATTTAAATTGTAAGTCCATAAAGTCCATATTTTTCATCATAGTATAATTCAATTTTGTTCTCCCAAAATTTTACTGATTGTACTCCCAAAGAATTGTGCATTTTGAGCTCTCATTGGAGGGATTATTGTCACATGAAAGAAGTAGTTCCACGCATTAAAATGAGCCCCATTAGGCTTTTTCGGTCATTTTTGTTTATTTAAATGTGTTCGCATCTTCAAGCTGAACCACGATGTAGGCCCTGGAGTTGAAAGGTAGATGTCAGTTAACATCCTATATAAAAATTATTCTTTATTTTGTTCACAAAAAATCCACTGAATTCAATATGATAATTCAAATTGAAAAAAATTGACAAAAAAAGGAATAACAAATTGAAAAAATCTTCACCTTGTTCAATGATTTTTTACAGCAAAGTTTGTCAATGGAATGTACTCTTTTTCGTGATTTTTTAGCGAGTATGAAAAAGTAATTATCTTTTAAGTTTTGTGTAACCGCGTTAAATTATATCGATTTCATCTACTCCGTTTTGCCACCACATAATTCGGTACTACACTTCCATGTAACCCGTCATCAATTTCAGTTCTCAAGAAATCAAGTCAATTAAATAATTTGGTGTTAATATTCGTATTCAAAAATAAAATATAAAAAGCACTACAAATGTACATTAGAAAAAAATAAGTCAAAATGGAAAAAAATCATGCAAAATAAAACATTACTATTTCAAATGTCAAAATGAAAATGTTAATATATCACATTTTTACGCGGTATCGTATAGCCCCCATACAACGATATTCGGTATTTTGATGATTTTAGCCACATTTTTCAATGGAATTGTCTGAAATTCTACACATGGAGTTCCTTGTGAGTACTTTATCTCCTAGAAGAGAATTTTCTATATAGGTATCGTATAGCCCCCATATAACGGCACCTTCCGATATTCGGTATTTTATTGATTTTAGCCACGTTTTTCAATGGAATTGCCTGAAAATCCACAAAAGGAGTTCCTTGTGAGTTCTTCATTCCCTGGAAGAGAATGTGCATCCCCTATGTAACGGTATCGCCCGATATTCGTTATTTTTTTATTTTATCCACGTTTTTCAACGGAATTGTCCGAAAATTTACACAAGGAATTCCTTGTTAGTACTTTATCCCCTAGAAGCGAATTGTCTACAGGGTTGCCCATATTCGACGGACTCATGTTTTTTTTGGGCCCATTACAATCGACGAGGCTTGTCCGCTGGCAACATTCTTTGCGTCAATTGAATTTTGTACGGGAACCAATGCAAATCAATGCGAATAATCCGTTGTAAAGTGGACCGAGCCATGCCCAACTGCTGAGAACGGCGTTTTTGGGATGTTCTTGGGGACCTCTCAACACTGGCTCGTACGGCAGCGATATTCTCGGCCGATCGCCTTGGTCGACTTTTATATGGCCTCTTCGGATTAGAAAGAGCCTTTCCAGTCGAAAATTTTTCGTATAAACGCTTAATGGTGTTCTTAGAAGGCGCACTTCTCACATTTTTTAATGTTTTAAAAGCACGTTGAGTTTTCACAATAACTTCTTCTGTTGAATGTAAATTTCAACTATTTCAGAGCGCTCGCGTGGCGTGTATTGGTTCATGGTAAAAATCTGCTTGGACTGACGCTTCAAACGTGGTAGTTATGGCGTTGCCAGATGGGTCCGTCGAATATGGGCAACCCTGTAAATTGTACTAAATTTGGAACGATATGGATTTGGGTGAACCGATAAGGCTGGAATCCTGGTATTGGGAAATACAATTTCTAGGAACTTTTGGAAGTTCGTACTTATGTGTACTAAATTGTACTATATTTGTACAATTTCATATTGGGTGAACAGATTTTGTATTTGGGTCGCTGTTCATGTGGAGGTGATTTCGGAAATGTGTACTATAATTTTACGAAAAGATATAGAGATAAAATTCTGAAATGTGATATTTAGATTACTGATTTGTACGAAAAGTACTAAATGGTATAACATTTGGTATCGAGTAAAGAACTGGAATCGTCGAACTTGATATTGATGTCTCTGTTGGTATCTGGAATAATTGTACGAAAAATACTAAAAAGTACAAATTTTGGTATTAGTTGAAGAGATAGTGATTAAATTCTTAAATATGATATTTAAATAACTTTTGGTATCTTAGTTTGAGATTTGGAGATGTTTACTTTAGTTGTTCGAAAAGTACTAGATTGAAATAAATTATGGATTGTGCGAAGGGATAGAGCTGAAACCGTGAAATTTTATATTACGATAATTTTTTGTGTCTAGGCCTGAGGTATCAGACAGTTTTGCAATAAGTACAAAAAATGAAATTTGGTACTTGAATTTCACAATGTTGGTTCTGTTCAGGCGTGTAAGCTCACATTGCAATACAACCACTCATATATTGGTTCATTCGACCTGCGTTATTTTTACATCCTCCACCATAAGATGGAGGGTATATTAACATTGTTATTCCGTTTGCAATATCTCGAAATATTCGTCGCAGACGTCATAAATTAGTGATCTGCATAAAATTCTAAGACATTATTATGACGTCCGTCGGTCCGTGTGTTAGGGAATTAGGGACAATTTAAGATTGGAAGTAGTTTATATCTATCCACGTGTAGTTATAGTTATTTTTTTCATTGGTTTTGTTCAAAATTCTATATTTGTTTAAAATTATGTTTGTGGTGGGTTCTGCCTTCAGTGACAGAACATAGTCTATGTTAATTTTGTTTAAGTTGTATCTCCCCTGCAACGGCACTTACCGTTTTTGGGATTTTGATAAGTTTAGACACATTTTACCACTGAATTATTTCAAATAAGGCATTTGATACTCGCAATAAATAGCAGCACTAGTAGCAAAATATTGTCCTTGTAGCTTCACGTTTTGGTATATCGATACCGCCCACTTTATGATATTTTTGAGATTTTACTGCTTTTTCTAACCGATTTCACTGGAATTTGCAGATTATTGGAACTCGTTCGAATATCGAATTCAGATACAAAAAATATTTCTATAAAAATCTGCAAGAACTTTTCTGTTTATAACTTCATTATGTTAAATTGTTGCTGTTCTTTTTTTCTTTTCAGCATTTGAACTGAAAAAGAAATGGAAGAGCTTAAGAGACACCTTTGCGAAATATATAAAGCGTGTCAATGCCGAAGAGGCCCCAAAACCTTGGGTATGGGCAGATCATATGAAGTATTTTCTACCTTACTTATCCTTCAGTAATAAATCATTCCAAGATCAAGAGGATTATGACATTTCTCCCGAAAGTGACTGCGATCAGCGTAATTCCAATTCCAATGTGGCCATTGTCGATGAGGAAAGCGAATTTATTAGTTGCGATAATGACTACAAGCCAAACGAGCAACAACCCGTCGAGTCTGTACTCTTTGTGCAGGGATCCCCAAAATCACCCTCACCTGTCCATGAAACAATTGTGCAAACGGAAACGGGCGCATTTACCATAACTCAACCCAGAACACTAAAGAGAAAATTTGATTCAGACGAACCGAAATCGTTTCGTGATCATTTGAAAGAGAAGAAGTTCAAGGCCGTATTCGATGACATAGAATGCCTAATGTTGGCCCACGCCAAAAATATTAAGAGATTTTCGGCGAAACGACAAGCTATAACCAAATATAAAATTGCTCAAGTGATATTGGAACAGGAATTGTTGCATGTCAAGGATGTTGGTCAAGTACAAGAGCATAGATCTGGTAACATATCCAGCGACGATGACAATTAAATAAATATAGTCAAGTACTTTATTATCTACCTGATACTCCTTTTTATGACAAGCTTCATACATTCGAACATTTAAAAAATATATAAGAATGCATTTACATCAGTTACATATAATTTGAATTATGTAAATATATAATTAGTGATTAATAAATATTATTTTAATTAAATTTCATAATGTTTGAAAAAATAATCATCATATAGCAAAAATGTATTGTCACAAGAGCAGAATAAATCAGTACAAGGTAATGTAAATATATAGGGTGAAGAAATAACAGAACATAATTCTAGTGTGATGCATCTTAGTATTTGTAACAGAAAATAGAACAGGTTCCACGTCGTCGAGAACTGATTCTAATAATTCACACCAATTCAGAAAACCATGTAACCTAAGAATGTGCATACAATGTTTATTTCGAATGTAAACGGGGTCTATATTCAAAAGTGGTCCTACTGTCAAATTTTCATCTAATAAAAAAAAAAAAACAAGTAAAAAAGCAGCTCAATCGAACTTTGTATACACTCCACCATTTAAAGAGAATTTAGGAATTTGCAAAAAAAAAAAAACGTTGAAAACATCCTATATTTCTCCGAATTTTCCTTTTTTCTTTGCCGAATTCTATACGAATTCGCCCCGAAACTCTTACGTTCTTTCAGATTTTTTTCCGCAAAATCTTTCAGAATCTTGGGCAATCTCACACAATTTTTTCCCGATTTCTTTCCGAATTCGACATCAGAGTCAGAAACTTGTGCAGAGTTTTTTTTTCCGAATTCGGAAGAAAATCGGAAAAAAATGTTTGCTGGGAATACCTAATATAGTGAGTTACAGTTGTAATTGTTGTGTATATGAAGACGTGGACATACATAGGCCAGTTTTGTCACAGACTGAATAATGTCGCTAAGGAGGCATAGTTATATGGGGGCTAAACCTAAACGTGGACCTACATGGCTCTTTTTCACTGCCAAAAATCCAAAAACAAAGAACAGGTCGTATTTATTGCCCGCTCAAGATGAAACTTTGCACAAAACATTTGTTTAGTTCAAGGAAGAACCCTATTGATATTGAAGAAAATCCGTCAAAATTTAGATATAGCTCCCATAAACATCTTTGGCACATATAATTAAATTGAGCCTAAAAACAAGAACGTCAAATTTGATGGAAATCGGTTAAGATATAACTGTAGCTTCCATATATATTCTTCATCCGATTTTTTAAATTCCACCTCCACAGCCGTAATACGCACCCCGAACAATGAAATTCTGAGGAATATATAAACTACAGCTTTGGATATAGCTCCCATATATATATATATTTCCTCAATTTCATGTTTATTGTACTCCAAATGGCCCGAATTAAATTGATTTTGACATATACAAACGAATTTATTCTGGAAAAAAAATGTATCAAATCGGTTAAGACATAGGTACGGGTCGCACATTCAGGGTAAGATGAAAAAACTGCCACCAACTTCAGTCTGCTGTCATTTCGTTGATAATCGTGTTTACTTGCCAAAGAGTTCAGCTGAAAATGTGCACCTTCGTTTGGCAACCAGAACTCAAGCGCCGCCCCATGGTGATGGTGTGGGCAGCCATAACAGCCGATTGTCGCTCTCCGCTCGTATTAATCGACCGTGGCATCAGAATAAATGCCGTATATTATGGCGAAAATATTCTGGAGGGTGTATTAAAGCCTTGCGCAGACCTTGGACTTTGCAACAGGACTCAACACCATCGCACTCATTTCCACCGCACAATGGCCACCAAAATCTCCGAATACCAATCCGTTGGACTATTGTGTCTGGAGTATTTTGGAAAGCAAGGTTGGCACTAAAGAATACCAAAATGTCGATCACCTCAAGCAAGCGCTTCGACGGGAATGGGCCAAAATGCCCCAGAGCAACCTTCGCCAGCGTGTGATGGTTTCATTGGCCGTGTGAAGGCCATAATTCGTGCCAAAGGTGACCAATTCGAACAAATCTAAACAAAGTTTAAACTTTTTCAATGAAAAAGTTGTGACCTTGTACAACTTATATGAGGTAGTTAAAATAATTATTATATTCTTTTAATATTGCATTAAACACTAAAACCCCAGCTTGTTAATTATAAAAATATCTTTTTATGCAACTTATAAATAGGAACTTTCATAGCCGTTTCGAGGAAATATGTTTCGTTTTTCTGGTATTATGCACTGGATTTCCAAAAAAATAAATAAATAAATAAATAAATAAGCTGTAAGTTCCTCCACCATTTGGTGCAAATTTGCAATTTTCAAAAAAAAATAAAATAAATAAATAAATAAAATCCGTTAAAAATTCTTTTAAAATCTTGAAAATACCGGATGTAGCCGTATATTAGGGTCCATACGACGACGTGGACCTGCATAGGTAACTTTTGTCCCAAGCCATTACAACATTCAAATGCGAAACTTGAAGAAATTCGGTGATTAATGTAGCTAAAATTATCAAAATACCGAATACAGGGAGGTACCATTATATGGGGGGCTATACCAAAACGTGGACCTGCACAGACAATTTTTTGGCTTAGGCTGTATAAATTTTTGTCATAAGCTATTGCAATATCCAAATGCGAAACTAGAAAAAATCTGTTTATAATGTCGCTAAAATCATCAAAGTACCGAATATCGAGAGGTGCCGTTGTATGGGGGCTACACAGACAATTTTCTTTCATAGGCTGTGGTATTGATTAAGAACTTCAAATACCAAAATAGTTCCGGTAAATAATATCTCTGAAATCATTAAAATACCCAATATCGGGAGGTACCGTTATATGGGGGCTATACGAAGAAGTGGACCTACACAGACAATCTCCTGTCATAGGTTGTAGTATCTGTTACGAACTTCAAATACCAAATTTGAAACAATTCCGGTAAATAATGACGCTAAAATCAACAAAATACCGAATATCGGGAGGTACCGTTATATGGGGGCTATACGAAGACATGGACCTATATGGTCCTTTTTTAATACCAAAAGTCCTGCAGACGTAATACACAATTGAGTAAATTTTTATCAACTTACTTCATTAAGTTCTGAAGCTATAGTGATTTCCACTTGCCGGCAGACGGATGGACATTGCTAAACCGACATAGAATTTTATGCTGATCAAGAATATATATACTTTGAGGGGTCTAAAATGCATATTTCGAGGTGTTACAAACGGAATGAAAAACTTAATATACCCCTTATACTATTGTAGAGGGTATAAAAAAACGCTCCAATTCAAAATTAAATGTACCAATTTAAAGCAAATTTTTATCTTTAGTCAGACCGATTTCATTCCTCGCCATGGTTCTTTTGCGTTTAAGTTCTAGTACTGGAGCATTGCCAAAGAAGTTCTGATCAAATTGCGGATTTGCTGAGTCAATGTTCTTACTTCCTCTTTTAAATAGTCTGAATCCAATTTATTTATTAGAACATTTAACTTTCCACTGTATATATCCGCTTTAATGGTTGGATGAGAATGAAAGAGATAAATGAACATTGATTAAAATCTATTATTACAATTTTTACGACTAATCATGCCATTACCTTCATGCAAATCTGCTCTGGATTTTGAACCCTTTACTCTTTATTTTTTTAGAGACCGATAACCGATTTATGTATCAGTGTATAACAGTCGAATTGAATCCACGAGATAAATTGAAAATGGGTCATATACATATGTGAAATGTATGACCAAATATGAATTGTATATGTATGTGTATACTTTTTCTTGAACATTGATATGCAAATAATATACTTCAATGAGAAGTTTCAATATTCTCAAGTAGATTTTCGATGGCTACGTGACAATTGCCACACAAATTTCAAGGTCGGTCAGAAATGTGTATTTTAAGTATAAAAAAACAAAATTTGATAATTAAAGAAAACAAGAAATCAATACCTATGTGAAATGCTTTATCACTTGAAAACAATGCGTAAAGCAGCATCCAGCCAATCAATAACACCATATTTGTAAATACACATATCTGTCCATCTCTATATACATATTTCTTTGGAAATAAAATTTAAAACAATACCAATCTAATCACTGTATATATTTCACCAGATATAACTGGAATCTTTTTTATGGCTTACAATAAAATTTATTGAGTGTAGAATATTATCAAAATCTTATTTGGAACAACAAAACATGTCAAGTTGTTTTCATTAAAAAATGGAATTATTATAACAAAAGTATATTAAAACTGGTTTTTATCAGCAACCATCGAAGATAGCTCCATAGGATACCATAAACAAAAGTTGTTTATATCGTTAGCGATATGTTTACTGCTAACCTACACATTAAAAATTTAGATAAAATATAAATCTTCAAATAAATATTCATTTTAAGGATCAGTATTATGAATACTATTATGTACTTCGGATCTCAAGATACAAGGAACACAAAGATATTTTTAACGTTACAGATACATTATCTTGCGACTTAGCACTCACACCAAAAAGCCATTGACACTGAGATCAGTTATTCCCTTACAGAACTTAAAACTTCCTCGACTGCTACTAGTGCATCGTCAACGATTTAACGACCGTCAGTGATTATAATTTACGTGAACCAGCCAAGTTGTATGAACCGATTCAAACACAACAACTTGATCAATATCTATCCGTAGACGTAGCCTGAATCCCATATATCCCAAATATATTGATTTTACATACATGAAGACCATGTATGTTGCTCCTATTACAGGTATTGAAATCCAAATAATTGTATTATTAATTAGACTGCTATTCAAGCCGATAATGATACGTCGCACAATGATTTAGAAGCCAAGTTGCATAAGTCGGCCTTGTTGTACCCTATACATACATAGTATGGAGGATAATTAAGTTTGTCATTCCTTTGGGAACACATCGAAATAATCACTTTAGGCTCTACAAAGTATAAATATCCGTGATCAGCACAATATTTTAAGTCGTCTGTTGTAATCACGCTAGAGTACAAAGAGCATATAATAGGAAGCTAAGATTTGACATAGAGATGTCGTTTGTCAGCAGCCAGGTCAAGTTCGAAGATGAACTATATCATTCAACGTTGTCATATAGCCCCCATATAATTGTAACCCCCCATATTCGGAATTGTTAAGATTTTATAATTCAGTAATTTGAGTTCATAACGGGTTCAACCCCCTGTGGCAGA